CCCCCTGCTCCCGATTGGAAATCGCCAGCTTCACGTGACGCCCTGCTCCAGACCGCTTGTTCGCCTCCTGCTGCAGGACGAATTCTCAGGCACTCTGCTCTAGCCGATCGACTTGCTGGTTGCCGGGCCCAACTCCTGATCTGTTACCGCCGTGCGCGCCCAAAAAAAAACAATGTCTACTGGATCAAGCTATGTTGTTGTTCCTCGTTGCCCGGTGATTTTTGATGGCTCTAACTACACCGAGTTCGTTGGCTTCATGCGCATTCATATGCGTGGCATCCGCCTATGGGGTGTTCTTTCTGGCGAGGTCTGTTGTCCGCCACGTCCGGTTCCTCCAGTGGCCCCTACTCCGCCGACTCCATCGGTTCTTCCTGCGAATGCTAATCGGGCCGCAAAGGATGCGGCTAAGCTTGTTGATGAGGCTGCTGATCGTGCTTATGATGAGCAGGTTTTGGCTTATGAGGAGGCTCTTCAGACGTATCATGGTGCTTTGTCTGTGTACACCCAGTGGCTTGATGATGATGCCCGTGCTGCAGCTGTTCTCACTGCTAGTGTTCTGCCTCAGTTTGCTTCTGAGTTTTTGGGCCTTCCTACTGTATTTGAGATGTGGACCAGTCTTCGTCAGTGCTATGAGCCCAAGGGTGATGCCTTATACCTCTCTGTGGTCCGTCAGGAGCATGCTCTTCAGCAGGGTGACTCTACTGTTGATGATTTCTATGCACAGAGTTCTGCTATCTGGCGCCAACTTGATTCTCTCCGCAGTGCTGGTTGTCGTACTTGCCCCTGTTGCCAGGCTGTCCAGGCCAATTTGGAGTTTCATCGCGTCTACGAGTTCCTGTCTCGGCTTCGTAAGGAGTTTGAGCCCCGGCGTGCTCAGTTGTTTGCTCGTGGCCGTATTTCACTCATGGAGGCGCTTTCTGAGATTCGTGCTGAGGAGACTCGCTTACGTGGTGCTGGTTTGCTGGAGGTTCCCTCTGTGCTCGCTACTCGGGCTTCTTCCACTCCACCTGCTGCACCGACCCCTTCTCGCTCGAGTGCTCCGCCGCTCTTGCCCACTCCTTCTGGAGGCTCAGGTCGCCCCCGTCCACATTGCGACTACTGCAACAATGATGGTCATATTGAGTCCCAGTGCTACACGAAGCGGAAACACCTGCGCAAGGCGCGATCATCATCTTCAGGGACTTCGTCATCTACCTCGACAGCTTCAGCCATTGCTTTGACCGAGCAGGATATTCTGAGACTTAAGCGTCTGCTCGCGGCTTCAGGTTCTTCCTCGACGGGTATTGCTGGTTCTGTGACTGATGCTTCCCGCACTGAGCAACCGCCCTCTACACAGTCAGGTACATCCCCATGGGTTCTGGATTCTGGAGCTTCTTTTCATATGTCTTCTCATTCTTCCACTTTGTCCTCTCTTCGATCGCTAGATTCTCCTGTTCATGTCTTCACTGCTGATGGTACTCCACTTTCTGTTGCTAGTAGAGGCAATCTTTCCACTCCTTCTTATTCTGTTCCTGATGTTGCTCATGTTCCTCGACTTACCATGAATCTGTTTTCTGCTGGTCAACTACTGATTCTGGTTGTCGCGTCATCCTTGACGTTGACTCTTGTTCTGTCCAGGACCGTCGCACGCACACTCTGGTTGGGGCTGGCCCTCGCCGCCGTGATTCTCAGGGTCTTTGGGAGTTGGACTGGCTTCATGTTCCTTCCGCTGCCACCACCATCGCCAGTTCCTCCGCTTCAGTCGCCTCCGTTACTGGTTCCTTCAAGCAGTGGCATCATCGACTTGGTCATCTGTGTGGTTCTCGGTTGTCGTCTTTAGTTCGTCGAGGTCTTTTGGGGTCTGTCTCAGGAGATGTCTCTTTAGAGTGTCAGGGTTGTCGTCTTGGCAAGCAGATTCAGTTACCATATTCACATAGTGAGTCAGTGTCTAAACGTCCTTTCGATTTAGTTCATTCTGATGTATGGGGTCCGGCTCCTTTCGCTTCGAAAGGTGGTCATAAATACTATATTATTTTCATAGATGATTTCTCCCGTTACACATGGCTTTA